TGTCTGTGCGCGCGTATCTGTGTCTGTGTCTGTGCGTGTGCGTGTGTTTGTGTGTTTGTCTGTGCATGTGCGTGTTTGTGTGTGTGTGTGTGTCTGTGTATGCGTGCGTGTCTGTGTGTGCGCGCATGTGTCTGTCTGTGTGCGTGTGTGTGCGTGCGTGTGTCTGTGCGCGCGTGTGTGTGTCTGTGCGTGTGCGTGTGTTTGTGTGTGTGTGTGTGTTTCCCTTCCAGAGTGAGGAGAAGAGCCGGCAGCTCCAGGAATGGCTGGATTCCTCCAAACAGAAGCTGCAGCAGACCATGAGGAAGGCGGAGACTCTGCCAGAGGTGGAGGCCGAGCTGGCCCAGCGAGTGGCTGCTCTGAACAAGGTACGTTCCACATGGTGGGCTCCTCCAGGTCCTTACAGGCTCCACGCTGGGCCCCTTCACCCTCACCTCAGCACGTCCCCCACTTGAGTCAGCTTGGAGACTCTTCCCATCTGGTTGATGTTGAAATGTTGAACCACAGGGACTGAACGGCAGTGGATGCAGGATGACTCATTAATTGTAGATAAATTCTTGTTAAGTAAAGATATTAAGGGACATTGCCAAAGGCTGGGTATATGGAACAAAAACAGAAGTTGCAGAAAAAGCTGAGCAGATCTGGCAGCATCTGTGAAGAAAAAATCAGAGTTAACGTTTCGGGTCCAGTGACCCTTCCTCAGAATATACATACACACGCACACACACAGATGCGTGCACATGTATGTTCTGAGGAAGGGTCACCGGACCTGAAATGTTGACTCTGATTTTTTCTTCACAGATGCTGCCAGCTCTGCTCAGCTTTTTCTGCAACTTCTGTTTTTTTTCCTGATTTACAGTATCCGCAGTTCTTTCGGTTTTTATTTAGCTGGGTATATGAAATTAGGCTCAGGACTTATAGAATGGTGGAACAGCCTTAAGAGGCTGAATGACTTCCTTCTGTTTCTATGTCCCCCGCACACAACAGATCAGATTATGACCAGTCAGTTGGCATGATTGTTCTTAGTTGGGGGTGGGGAGAGGGAGGAGGAGGTGGTTAATACAAGCCCAGGACATGGACAGACAAGATCATTCCTGGCTTTTGACGTAGTCATACAGGATCTTTGATGCCCTCCCCGATGGGACCTCGGTTAAATAGCTCATCTTGAAAGATGCTCCTCTGACAATGCAGCCCACCCTCAGCCCTGCGCCAGGAGTGTCACCCTGGAATGAGCCCTCAGGTCACCCAGAGTGGGATTCTGCTCCACAACCTCCTGACCCTGAGTTGGAAGTCGTTTCCTTTTCTTGTGAAATTTTTTTCTTGAGATAACGACACGACTGGCAAGGCCAGCAACGAATTCCTGTCCCTAATTGCCGTGCAGAATCTCAACGAGAGGCAGTGACAACTCAGTGACTTCCTGGCCAAATGGAGGGCATGAATAGCCAATCATTTTGGAGGGGATCTGGTGTTCCCGTGTAGGCCAGGGGATGTGTAAGGATGGCAGATTCTGGGCCCTGCTGGATATTAGATGGGTTTTTATGATAATCCAGTCCTTTCATGATCAGTCCTGGGATGGCAGGACTGACATATGAAGAGAGACTGGATTTGGTCAGAACTACATTCACCGGAGTTCACAAGAATGAGGCGGGATCTCATAGAAACCTATAAAATTCGAACAGGACTGGACAGGGTAAAAACAGGAAGGATTTTCCTGATGACTGCGGAGTCCAGAACCAGGGGGATCACAGTCTAAGGAATGGGGTAGGCCATTTAGGACTGAGATGGGGAGAAATGTCTTCACCCAGAGAGTGGGGGGCCTGTGGAATTCTTTGCCACAGAAAGCAGTTGAGGCCAAAATATTGAATGTTTTCAAGAAGGAGTTAGATATAGTCCTTACGGCTAAAGGGATTAAAAGGTGAGAAAACAGGAACAGGGGACTGAGTTGGATGATCCGCTGCGATCATAATGAATAGAGTAGCATGCTCAGAGGACCAAATGTCCTACTCCTGCTCCTATTTTCCTTGTCTGTATTATTAATGTGAACAGCGTTTCAATCTGGATTTATGAATCCCCTTCATCTAAATTCTCCATATTCCGTGTTGACATTTGAACTTGCGCCCCAGAGTATAAGTCCAGGTCTCTGGGTTACTTGTGTGGTAACATTACCACATCACACTAGGCCTGATTCAGGGTGGGTGCCACCGCACTGCGATCTGGGCAGAGCCAGGAGACCATACCTGCTTTCCATATTGCGATGAGTAACCGGTTCGGACTGACTCGGGAATCTCTCTGATGCAGGCAGAAGAGAGGCACGGGAATATCGAGGAACGGCTGTGCCAACTGGAGACAGAGCTGGAAGAGAAAAACCAGGAACTGCAAAGGGTAAAGACTCTTAACGTCCTAAAGCGGGAACACTTTCTATCCCTGATCAGCCGAGATATCAGCCACAAACATAGAAGGAGCTCAATTGCTTGCAAATACCGCAGACTTGTTCAAACAAATCCAGAAATTATGTATCAAAGATCACATTTTACATTGTGTTAGAATAGATTAGAATAGAATCCCCACAGTATGGAAATAGGCCATTCGGCCCAACAAGTCCACATCGACCCTCTGAAGAGCATCTCACGCAGACCCATCCCCCTACCTTCACACACACGCACACAGACACACACACACACACACAGACACGCGCGCACACACATGCACACAGACACACACACACACGCACACACACACACGCGCACAGACACACACACAGACACATGCTCACACTCACACACAGACACAAACACAGACACACACACTTGCACACACATGCATACACATGCTCACACACACCCACACACACATGCATACACACACACACTTACACACACACACATGCATACACACACACACAGACACACATACAGAGGCAAACACACACACACAGACACACATACAGAGGCAAACACACACACACAGACACACATACAGACACAAACACACACACACACACACATACACATGCTCACACACCCCCACACACACATGCATACACGCACACACTTACACACACACACATGCATACACACACAGACACACATACAGAGGCAAACACACACAGACACACACACACAGACACACATACAGACACACACACACACACGTACAGACACAAACACACAGACACACACTTGCACACACACACACATACACATGCTCACACACCCCCACACACACATGCATACACATACACACTTACACACACACACATGCATACACACACACAGACACACACAAACACACACACACACACACGCACGCGTGCCCCATTTGGGAATGTGGCAGAAGGTTTCCTGACCTGGTTATCGGGATGTGGAGCTGGATCATGAACACTCCTTAGAAACTTCTAATGTGGGTCTTGAACCCTGGAGGCCTCTGGCCCAGAGGTAGAGACACCTCCCTAGGATCACATTATTTTTAGTTGAAATGGATGATTCAATTCCAGCTGGCACTTGACTTTCCCAATTGTAAGATCCTTTGAAATCAATGAAAACTGCATGAAGCTGATTCCCAATATCCTCAGTTGTTGTGGTGGGATTTGTAACCAGGACCTCACAGGGCATTAGCCTGGGCCTCTGGAATCCTAGCCCAGTAACATTTATCACCAACCTCATCCCGGATTCCATGCATCAGGACATCCTGGGAGGAAACCGAGCAGATCTTAAACAGTTGAATAAAAGCAAAATATTGCAGATGCTGGAAATCCGAAACAAATACAGAGAACACTGAAGAAACTCTGCAGGTCTGGCAGCATCTGTGGAGAGAGAAACAAGAGCTAACATTTCCGATTCCTAATGAATCTTCTTCAGGATTGAATTGCAGAAGGGTCACATCAGACTGGAAACATTTAACCCCGTTCCTCTGTTTGCATAGATGCTGCCAGACCTGCTGAGCTTTTCCAACCTGTCCCTGGTGGACCTTATCCTTCCCTAGCTTTTACAGGGGGGTGGGGGGAGGGAGAGAGAGAGAGGTGGTGGAGATTTGTGTCATTGATGTTCTGCCTCAACATGTTGTGAGCCTGTGCAGACTGGGGGTCTAAACCCCGTGTCGTTCCTGTGCGCAGGCCCGGCAGCGGGAGAAGATGAACGACGAGCATAACAAGCGCCTGTCAGAGACTGTCGACAGGCTCCTCTCTGAATCCAATGAGCGGCTACAGCTCCACCTGAAGGAGAGGATGGCAGCCCTGGAGGAGAAGGTGAGAAGTCACCTCTTAACTGGAAATGTGTGGCGGGGAGAGATGGTGAACGGGGGGAGGCCAGGCACCTCTCACTCGACAGGCATGACAGAGATTGATAGAAAGACGTCAAGGGAGATGGGTACTGTATGGGAAGATGAGATTGAGGTAAGGGATTGATGGGGGTGGTGGTGGTGTTGGCTGATTGATCTACGCCAACTTCCAACATCCAAAACTGATTGAACAGGAATGTTGCTGATGGCCAGGGTTGAAGAAGCAGCATCAATTTAGACAATGAACATAATCATCAAGCATGCAGAATAACTCAGAGGGAATAATGGCCCGCACAGGCTGAGTAAAGCAGATGTTTGCATTTATATAGAGCCTTCTGCATCACATCGGGGTTCACAGCCAGTGAAGTCTTCTTTACGTTCAATAACATTATCCCATCGCGTTAACAGAATGGGAAAGAGCAGTCAGCTTGCACACACAGCAAGGTCCCACAAACAGCGATGTGATTGTGAAGTTGTCCATAAATATTTGAATAATGTTAGTTAAGTGATAAATATTGTCCAGGGCCCCTGGCAGGAATCCCCTCACTTGTTTCACAACAGCACCAAGGGGTCCTTCACATCCACCCAAGAGGACCAGTGCGGCATTCCCTCAGCCCTGGGCACTGGGAGTGTCAGCCTAGAGTTTGTCCTGGAGTCGCTGGGACCTGACCTTGTGACTGGGGTGTGGCTGCCTGGGGACATGTGACGGGTGTCGAATTCTACAGCGCAGAAAGAGGCCATTTGGCCCATCACACTCAGCGAAAAAGCTGCCCTAGATAGTCCAGCAGATTTACCCTATCACCTCGCAGGTTAGCCCCCTTCAGGGATGTGTCAGATTTCTGCGATGGGAGATACTTAGGGATACCTTTGTTGAGATGTACCTAATGAACAACAGGAATGCGTTTGAACATTCACGTCCATGATGTATTTCATTGGCGGTGTGCTCCAGTTCAGTTGGGAAGGATACGTTGCAGTAGCAACTGGCAGGCTATGGGAGAGGTCTGGATTTCTCTCCCTCGCTGGGGTGACCACGAATCTCTCCTGATTTTACCACCCGCCTGTTGTTGGCCTGTTGGAAGGATTTGTGTGTTGATACGCAACCTGTTTAGTGGCATCATAAACCCACCTTTCTTGGCCATTGGGGCCTGGAGTGGCATTTGAACCCACCACTCCTAGCTCAGAGACAGGACACTACCTGCTGTGCCACAGGATAACCTTGTTACTGTACTTGCTTTACACCTCTACCACAGGAGCAGTTTCTGTCATGTTTTTGTTTGCTGTGCATTTCGTGTGACAATTTCTCTGTTCCTCTTTGCCTGACAACTAAGAAAATCTAACCTCTGTCTTTCCTTTTCTGTCTCTTTATTTTCCCTTTTTAACTCCTTGCCTCGTAGAATGCACTAAGTCAGGAGCTCTCTAACATCAAAAAGGTGCAGGAGGAAGTGCTACTCAACAAGGTATCTTCTCCGTTTGGGCTAAATGGGGTTACTCAAAAATCCTTCAGCGCTGGGCCAAGAGCCAACGGCTCTAATCCTGAATGGATCAGTTGGTCAGTTTCCCACAACTGATCTTGGAAGTGAAGGGACTTATTGGCCAGAATCCCTCTTTGCACCTGGGAGTGGGAAGAAGGGTGGGAGGAGGAACTTAGTTGTGTGCGCAGGTCGAAATCAGCTTCTGGACGACTGGACAGAGGTTTTTGCAGTTCAGATCTCTGAACTTTCAAGGGAGGCTTAGGCTTGAAATGGGCCCGGGGTCAAGGAATGTGGCCAATGGATGGCAAGCTGATGGGGTGGAAGGATGGGACAGGGGCTTATGTGTATACCCCCTCCCCTCCAGAACTCGAGGATATCTTACAAGGGCTGAATGCCTACCTTTCAATGCGATACCTCTGACCCCTTAAAGCAACACCGCTCTTTGAGCGAATGTGACACTCAACTCCAACACACATCTCTGAAAATCGGACTCCAGAATGGATGTTGTGAGAATGAGGGAGCCCAGATCACCGGAAGTATTTAAAGAGGAGGTAGATTGGATTTTGAAGTAACAGGGAGGGTAGTGAGGAGCTGGCACCAGGGAGGTGAGGCCTGGTCAGATTAGCTGTGACTTTGAGGAATGGCAGACAGTCTTGTGGGAACAAATGGCCTGAACCTGCTTCTGTTTCTTATGTTTTGTTACATCGCTGGGCTGGCTTGTACCTCGCAGTGTGTGGGCAGGCTGTGGGGGAGCCTGGAGGTGTGTTACTCACTGCAGAATTCCCAGTCTCTGACCCACTGTCTTTCCATCAGTTAATACAAATCCACTGAGTATGCCCTCATGTCTAAAATGTTAAAAAGATTCAGTGAGTTGACCAGAGAATCACTCAACATAGAGGAAACCCAACGAGCCAAAACTATGCCAAATCTACCACTAGCCCACTTGGCCCTTAGCCTTGAATGTTGTGACATTTCAAGTGCTCATCCAAGTCCTTTTTTTTGAACGAGGTTTGAGGTTACCTGCCTCTTATCACCCTCCCAGGCAGGTGCAATCCAGACCCTGTACCATCCTCTGGGTGGAAAAATGTACCTTTGCCCAGTAAACATCTCCATCAGTGCCATAGCTGCACCTCTCCTGGTTTACACTAAGGCCTGCCACTGAAGATTCTGGTTAGCAGCAGAAATTGAAGAGAAACACCAAATCCATGCTGGTCAGTCAAGTAAACAATGAGACAACATTTGGTTGCCCTTCTGTCTTTTTACATACAGATAATGAATGATCAGTTTCAAATATTATCAAGCATGAGGTCTGCATTGTAAATATTTCTTTATTAATTTAATTATACAACACACTTACTTTTAAATATATATTAACATTTTAAAGACGAAGGTAGTGAATGATTAGAAAGCAGCATTGCTAAGGTCCTTCAAGCAGACAAAGGCACAACTCAGTGTCACTACAAAACACACAGAGCTGGAGGCACCAGGTTTCCTTCATGGCTGGCGCTGAGTGAGCTGACCACAACAGTGGGGGTGGGGTCACTACAAATGGCATTATCCCTGGGCTCAGGGGGAGGTGGTGAGGGGGAAAAGAGACAGAGACTGAATTGGTATCCACAGGGTCCATGGCAATACTGTGGGTGAGGATGCAGGTTTATGTGCGAGTGAACTATGTTCTTCCTTCAGTAACAACGAACGATATGCATGCGGTTTTTTTTAATGCTAGTGGATTGTATCGAGCAGCCAAACCACATTCACAAATACAAACCATTTACAAAGTATTTCTGCTGTTTGGGAGTGAGATCTTGAGGCCAGAGTTTGAGCCAGATTTTTCAGAAATGACATGATGGGGGTGATTTTAACTCAGAAGCCATCCACTAAGACAATATTGAAATCAGACCCCCAGGAAATAGTACCACACACAAAAGGATGATAGAAAAAATTGGAATTATCTTCCTCAGACTGCAACTGATGCTCAATCGTGTTCAATTTAAATCTGAGATTAATACGTTTTATTTGTTAACCAATGATATTAAGAGAGTTGTCAATCACTGATCAGCCATGATCTCATTGAATAGTGAAACAGGCTTAAGGGGCTGAATGGCCTCTTCCTGTTCCTATGTTCCAGTAAATGGTGATGAAAAGAGCAGGCCGTTTGTTCCAATATTCAGGCTTTTCAGGATATTTCACTCATAAACCCCCTCCTGAGCCAGACTGAATCCTTTATGGAGACACTCTTTCCTCTGATTGGCAAATCATGAACGTTGGGAGAGATCATGAAGTTTGAGCTGGGACATTCTCGAACTCAGAGGGTCATGTGTATCGGGCAAACCCTTCCCTCCCCCTCCCAAACCCACTCCCAAAGAAGCTTTTGGATCCCTGCTTTCAACTGGGGCTTTGAAATCTTCAACAGTCTGAAAGAATATAGAAGAAATATGGGTCAGTGGAGTTGACTTACAGATAAGTGATGGTCTAATTGAATGATAGAACAGTTTGAAGGGGGCAGAATGGCCTCTTCCTGTTGCTGACTGTAGATTGCTGCTTTGCAGGTCGCTGGGACTGGATGACTCTGAATTGCTTGGAGTGCAATGTTGAACACGGTGTGTGGTTGGTGCCCTTTGACATATTTTATTTAACTGACTAAATGTTTGCTCCATTTGGCTTTACCTGTGTGTCCTATGGATATGTTCACGGCTGGTACACAAAGGAGTGCAGGTTGCACTGTACAATTCACAATGAAATAAAGAACTGGAAGGACTCTTAGGCATCTGGAGGCTACGAAAGTCATTTAACAGCCTAGGAAGTACATTTTGAAGTGTGCGCACTGTTATAGATTGTAGCAAAGCACATGAAACCAATTTACTGTCAGCAAGCAACAACGGGATAATGACCAGACAATTAGTCTTTACTGATGTTGGTTGAGCGATAAATATCAGACAGGACATCGGGGGTCTCTCCCCTATCTATTTGGAAATTGTGTCTTGGGATCTTTCGCCTCTGTCTGACAGGATGGAACCAACCTTGGGTGAGCATTGGAAAAACGGTATCTCGTAGAGTTCGACTCTCCCTCAGTACTGCAGTGCCAGTCTGCTTTATGTGGATGTGTCTCTGGATTTAAGATTTGCAGGCAGATCCAGCAGCTAACTTGTGCACAGCAGGATCCTACAAACGGTTGTGGGATAAATAACCAGTTCCTGTTGTTGTTGGGTAGGGCACGAGCAGTGGAATATACCTGTGGAGAATCCCTGACCCACCCTTCAACATTATTGTTTTTGTCAGTCTGAACCTTGGCTGGTAATGCAAATAAGGCACCTGCAACAATGCAGCACCCCCTCGGTACTGCACTGCTGTAATCACGTCTCTGTAGGACATGTGATGCCCTGGGACAAAGGTGCCAATTCTGACTGATCGCTGGCACTTCTGCCATGGGCCACTGGGGACCTTGACGGAACGGGAGGTGGTTTGAACATTGCCGGTTTTAAGAGCCAGTGGGATTGGCTGGTCTGGCATTGGGATAATTGGCCGCCTTTATCTCCTCACAGGAGCAGTTGATGGCTGAAGTGGAGAGGATGCAGACGGAACTGGAGCAGTTGAGAGCAAAGACGGGCATTCGGGATGCTTACTCGAGGTAAATGGGGCAAAAGTCAGATTTGCTTGGGAGCCATTAATTGCAAAGCCCCAGCATTGCCGCTAGCGACCAATCGAACATTTCCCTGAGCTCCATCCGAGGTCAACCATCCCAAACCCGAGACGACTACACTTGTCACTTCTGGATGGCAACACTCCTGGAGGTGCCGTCTCATGACCTCTCACCTTGGACTGCCCTGCCCTGCCCCCCACCCCCCTCCCACCATTGGTCCCTCCTGCACAAGAATTGGAAAATAAACAGACTCTTTATTAACGGATTAAGTGTAACGGTTAATGAAACCGGATTTTGCCCCTGACCCATCTCCGATATTTGCTCATAATTGAAAGGGAGTAAAATATTAAAAATGCAAAAAAAAAGTATTTATTACACCGCTGTAATTTTCCTCTGGACGTTGGACCTCATCCATGATGAGAATTGAGCCCATGCTGTTGGTATTCCTCAGTATCCAATGAGTCATTCCACCCACGGAGCAAACCAATTCCCATTGCTTCCTCTTAATTGCCCTTAATAGTTATCCAGTCCAAGATGGGAAACAAATTCTGGCCTTGCCAGTGACACCTACACTCCATGAAAGAATAATCCTTTAAAAAAAGTTTGATGGGATGAATGGCCTACATCTGCCATCCAATCAGCGCCCTTGTCTCGTGCATTATAAATTGTTGTTCCCTTTGAAATTTGGAATTCATGTATCTGCCCTGATGAGGACAAGGCATAAATATTTTAAAAGCATGTCTCTTTATCGAAGCAGTGTCAGTTTTCATTTGACTTTGGTCCTGCTGAGCACTTTTCTGCGTTCAAGCAACCATCTAAATGATGAGAGTACATAAAAGTCTTTGCTACACACTCTAATCCCAGTGCACTCTCCAGGGATTTCCTGGGCTGTATAGCTGTTTGTTGGGGCTCAGAATGGGGCAAGTGTAGATGGGGGCCAGTCTCACTGGCAGCCAAGACCAGAGACTCTTCCAGCAGGTAGGATTCTCATTGGGATATCTCCTGGCCACCTCCAGGTAACTCTGAGGACTCTGTATTCTACGCTGCATAGAAACACAGAGAATGGGAGCAGGAGTAGGCCATTCAGCCCTTCGAACCTGCTCCGCCATTTAACTTGACCATGGCTGCTCATCCAACTGAGTCCCCTTGTTTCTGCTTTCTTCCCCCATACCCTGCTGATCCCTTTAGCCCTAAGAACTATATCTAACTCCTTCTTGAAAACAGGCAAGCCCGCCACAACAGGTTTACGCTCATTCAGTAAATTAATTTTGAAAGATACAACGAGTTTTCTTAACTTTGTTTCGTCAGTTGCACTGCTATTTATTGCTTGCATTTTTTGGTACAACAGGTCACTGCCAGGGAGTGCATCAGAGCTCAGATACTCTCACAGTTCCGGCATTCCTGTGGGCAGCCACATGGACATCTATAGCACCACAGGGGTCCTTCGAAGACCCCACAAAGGACGCTGGGCAGCGCTGAAGGATGACCCGTCGAAGGTAAACTTGGTGGAGTCTTTCAGTGTCTGAAGCCTGGTTCCAACCTGTTATCGGTGAATGTTGGACAGTACTGCCTCAGAATCTCAGATGTGTTATGACACAGAAAAAAGGCCATTTGGCCTGTTATGCCTGCAGTAGCTCGTTAAATGAGCATCTCGACGTTGCTCGTGAGCTGAGCTGTATGTATTAATGATGACAATGAGGTTCTTTTTGGAATGCCATTAATCACCTGAAAATGGGGAAGGTTAAGGTGAGGATTCAACAGGGAATGTTAATGGTGGGGGCATTTAACAGTTGTTTACTGCTATAATGAACATTTCAACAGAATAGACCAGGAGAAACCGTTGCCACTGGCAACAAAATCGGCAGCCAGACAATGCAGACTGAAGATAACTGGCAAAAGATCTTCAGGAGAGATGAGAGCTGTTCTGTACAGTGAGCTAAGACCTGGAATGCAGTGACTGAAAGGGCATGGAAGCAGATTTACTAGTCATTGTCAAAAGGAAATTGGATAAATACTTCAAAAGGCCAGAAATTGCAGAATCATGGAGATAGAGAGGGGAGCAGAAGCTCTTTCTCAGAGGGAAGGAGTGACAGGGAGACGCATTTGGTCAAATTATCATCTCCTGCGCAATAAGGTTCTGTTATAAGCTGGTGATAGGAGTACTGCGTGTCAGAGCACTCTCTCAAATTGGCTCAAATGATTCTGAATGTCAGCGACTTTCTGAAGCTGAAGGCGACTTGCTCGATCAGCAATTTTTCGATTGGAACTACTTGTCTAGATCTGTTGAGTACCTGTTCACGTATGTCGCCCTGCATTGTTGCAGGTTAGTTGTTGCAAGTGTGCAACAAGACAGCGAACCATATCCATTCTGTTTTTGGCACATAGTTCGAAACAGAATGATGCAGCAGTCCTCACCCGAAGCCTGTCCACCATCCTCAGCACAAGGCCAGGAGTGTGGTGGGGGTGCTCTCCACTTGCCTGGATGGGTGCAGCTCCAGCGACCAACTCGAAACCAGCCAAAACAAACCATCCCACTTCCTTGGCACCTTATCCACCACCTTAAACGTTCGCTCCCCCTGCCGCTGGCGCTCCGTCGCAGCAGTGTGTACCATCTGCAAGATGCACTGCAGCAACCCACCCAGGCTGTTTAGACAGCACATTCCAAACCCATGCCCACTGTCATCTAGAAAGACAAGGGCGCTCGGAACAATGCAGTGTGGAACTGGAGGAACACAGCAGGCCAGGCAGCATCAGAGGAGCAGGAAAGCTGACGTTTCGGTTCGGGACCCTTCTTTTCTGTGACTCCAGCATCTGCAGATCTTGCTATCTCCAAGGGCAGCAGATACCTGGGCGCAAGTGCCCCTCTGAGCCACTCACCCATCCTGCCTTGGAAATATATCACCGTTCCTTCAGTGTCACTGGGTCAAAATCCCGGAATTCCTTCCCTAAAAGTCTCTACAACACGTGGACTACAGTGGATAAAGAAGGCAGCTCACCACCACCTTCCCAAGGGCAATTAAGGATCGACAGTAAATACTGAACTTGCCAGCAAGGCCCATATCCTCTGAACAAAGATGGGAACAAGGTAGAGGTGGTTTAGCCCATTGAGTTAATGTATGTTCTTTGAAAGAGCTGCTATTTCATCTTGCCCACCTGTGTTTTGCCCCATAGCCCAGCAAATTCTTCTTGTTCACGTATATATCCAGTTCTCTTCTGCCTGTTCATGTTACATCTGCATCCACTCCACTTTCAGGCAACAGGTTCCAGATCTCTCAAATGTGTGATTGAAACAAAATTAATTTAATGCCCTTAGAATCCCAATTCCCTGCTTTTTGCCAATATTTTAATATGTACAGGAGCTCCTGGCAATGTTTCAGTTTGGAACCATAGAGTGATATAGCACTGCAGGAGGCTATTCAGGCAATCATCCTTGTGCCAGCTCCCCAGAAGAGCTTACTGGCCCCAAACCCCAGCTCTCCATTGCCCGGCGGATGCTTCCCAATTAAAGGAATACATTTAGGCTGCTCTTGTGGCATCCGTGGTATTGTCCCTACCACTGAGCTAGGGGACCTGAGTTCAAGTCTCATCTGCTCCAGAGGTTGTGTAGCAATACCTCTGAACAGGTTGTGTTCAAAAAAATCCGACATTTATATAGTGCCTTTGACAACCGCCAGATATCACTAAGCACTTTACAAGCAATGAAGTACTTTTACAAATGTAGTCCCTGTTCTAATGTAGGGAACACTGCAACTAATAGGCAGCAAATAGCAATGTGCATGTGATCAATTAATCTGATCTCTAGTGATGTTAATGCCGGGTTAATCGAAGTGTCCTCTTGAGTGAGCGTTTCTAATAATGAAACCAAGCCCAGACATCTGCTCAGACTTTAAAATGAACAAATTTGCACAATCTTTTATGCACATGTTCTCCAAAAACCATTAATAATGAAAAAGCATCTTCAGAACCGATGTAAAAGGTCTAGTTGGTTTCAGGGGGTAAGAGATGTGGGAAACATTGAGGAGCAAATAGAAAATCAAAGCTGTGAAACATAGCCTTGAGTTTCAAAGATGGAGGAGTGATCGGATCGAGGGGTTCAAAACATAAAAAGAAATCCGACAGCCTAGTTGTGGAAAGGTGTTCTTCTGGTCAGTGAGGTGAGAACAAACAGGAACACAACTTTAACCCAGGAACTGGACCATTGGGCTCATGTTGGGAAGTACGTTTTCACACAAAAGGGAATGAAACTCTGGAACTCCCTTCCCTTAAAAGGCTCTGGATGCAGGAGGGTTAATTGAGGATTCAAAGAAGAAGGTTGCCAGGTCTGGCAACATCTGGGTGGTGCGATGGCTCAGTGGTTAGCACAGCTGCCTCACAGCACCAAGGCTCTGGGTTCGTTTCCACCCTCAGGCGACTATCTGTGTGGAGTTTGCACGTTCTGCCCGTGTCTGCGTGGGTTTGCTCCGGTTTCCTCTCACAGTCCAAAGATGTGCAGGTTAGGGTGGATTGGCCATGCTAAATTTCCCCCATGGTATCTAGGGATGTGTACGTTAGGTGGATTAACTGTGGGGAAATGCAAAGTTCTGGGGATAGAGTGGCCGCGTGGGGCGTTTGGGTCTGGGTGGGGTGCTCTTTGGAGAGTTAATGCAGACTCCATGATCTGTTTCCACACCGTAGGGATTCTGTGATCTGTGGAGAGAGACACAGAATTAACATTTTGAGCCCAACAAGCTTCTTCAGAATTTTCATTCTAGACCCGAAATGTTAACTCTGTTTCTCTCGCTCCACAGATGCTGCCAGACCTGCTGAGTTTCTCCAGTGTTCCCTGTATTTGTTTCAGATTTCTAGTATCGGCAGTATTTTGCTTTTGTTGATAGGTCTTTTTGTTGGGAAGGGGATATGGAGGGGATATGAAGGAGATATGGAGGAGATATGGAGGTAGGGGATGTACCAGCCATGATCTGATTGATTAGTGGGCCAGGTTTTAGGGGACAGAATGATTTCCTCCTGTTCCTAACTTATTCATGGATGTTACTGGCTGTAGTAAGATCATGTCAGCGCTCTGGTGCCTGAACGTTATCCAGCTTCATTAAACATGAAACCACAAGAGGTAGGAACAGAATTAGGCCATTAAGCCCATCGAGTCCACTCTGCCATTCACTGAGATCGTGGCTGATCCGATCATCCTCAACTCCACTTTCCTGCCTTTTCTCCATAATCCTCCAATCCCTCACTGATTAAAAATCTCAGCCTTGAATGTGCTTAACAACGCAGCCCCGACAGCCCTCTGTGTTAAAGGATTCCACAGATCCACTAGCCTCTGAGGGAAGAAATTCCTTCTCATTTAGCCAAGGGATGGTAAGACAGGAACCGACGGACTCTGGTCCCAGTTTCATGTTAGCTCATGTTCCTTATGCAGCTATTCTTAGAGTAAGAGTGTAATTAACCCTTTCCTCTACACCGACAAGGCCAACATTTGTTGCCCACCCTTAGTTGTCCTAGAACTAAATGGTGGACTCGCCCATTCCAGAGGGCAGTTAAATATCACCCACATCGCTGTGGGATCCGGAGTCACATGTAGGCCAGGACAGGTAAGAATAACAGATTTCTTTACCGAAGTGACATTAGTAAGCTGCGTGATGACTTTCCAACAATCTATGATAGATTGCCACCCTCAGAGACTAATTACAGAAATATTCGTTAAATGGTTAATAGAATTATTCATTGAATGAGTTGAATTTGGTGGGATTTGAACCCAGATTCCCAGGCCATTAGCCTGAGCCTCTGGGTTACTAGTCCAGTGATATTACCTCTCCCAGCATAGTTATTCTACAAAACGCTAACGGGATGTGTCTGTCTCTGTCTCCCTGCTTCCGTTTGGATTCTGCAGCATGTAAGTGAAACAGGTCAATGCATTTCTCTGTAATGGGTTGCATGCTTGTTGATGTTGAGCAGGCTGTTATCAGTTTGTGCCCAGTGAAACTGCACAGCCATTTGAAGGAAGGCTCAGACCAGCTGGAGCCCACAGTAAATGTCTCCCCGTGCCGCTTTGCAAAATCAGTGAAACACAGGCTACCAACAGCCAGCTTTCTCAGGATGACCTCATCTCAGCCTTTGACTGTTGTTTAACGACATATAGATTTCCTTTCATGCCTCGTTCTTTCCTTACTGGTGATTTTCTGGCTTTGTGAGGAAATGGGGTTGTTTAAGGGGAAGGTGGGTTGACAGTCTGTGATGATCTCGTGTTTATACAAAGCAATTTTAATAGAAATCTTGGAGAGGGGGTGCCTCTTGGCTCCATGGACCCAGTGCGCGTTGCCTGTTCCTGGGAGTCAGGCCCAGTGCGTGTTGCCTGTGCCTGGGAGTCGGGCCCAGTGCGCGTTACCTGTGCCTGGGAGTCGGGCCCAGTGCGCGTTACCTGTGCCTGAGAGTCGGGCCCAGTGCGAGTTGCCTGTGTCTGAGAGTCGGGCCCAGTGCAAGTTGCCTGTGCCTGGGAGTTGGGCCCAGTGCGAGTTGCCTGTGCCTGGGAGTCGGGCCCAGTGTGCGTTGCCTGTGCCTGGGAGTCGGGCCCAGTGCGCGTTACTGTGCCTGAGAGTTGGGCCCAGTGTGCGTTACTGTGCCTGAGAGTTGGGCCCAGTGCGAGTTACTGTGCCTGAGAGTCGGGCCCAGTGCGAGTTGCCTGTGTCTGAGAGTCGGGCCCAGTGCAAGTTGCCTGTGCCTGGGAGTTGGGCCCAGTGCGAGTTGCCTGTGCCTGGGAGTCGGGCCCAGTGTGCGTTGCCTGTGCCTGGGAGTCGGGCCCAGTGCGCGTTACTGTGCCTGAGAGTTGGGCCCAGTGTGCGTTACTGTGCCTGAGAGTTGGGCCCAGTGCGAGTTACTGTGCCTGAGAGTCGGGCCCAGTGCG